ACGTCCTACCTAGTGTCACTGAACGCGAATCGTGACTTATTATTAAGCGGTTACTTTCCCAACAGAAGTCACTTTTTCTCATATGTAAAACCACCACCCGACACAGTGCAAATGTCACAAGGCACTCTAGCTACTGAGTTTTCAAAATATGGTACCAAATATAATTTTTTCCTAGTTGTTCGAGGACTAATGTGACCAGTCCTCGCATCATAACCAATCAAAATCATTCGTAGTTACGGACGAAGTGCGATGTAAATTGGGAGCTGTAGGAGAATATCGTTAAACGGCACCTCAGTTCCACAGTTTTAGTAAACCTTTGGCAGGCAGTGACTGACCGGTGATCGATCGTGAGGGTGGCCGCGATTGGAGTCATACCCACGAGCGACACGAGCGATTAATCGCTCGCGTCGCGTCAATCGCTTGTGCCAGTCGCTCCACTCACAAAGTCTGACATCGCCATACAATGCACCAACTGAAACTTTGAAAGCTACTAAAATTCTCTGGTCTCATATATGCTCTAAGGTTCACCTATGATTCAGTTTGGAAACACTTGCTATTGCAATTCCGTCATACAAGCACTGTACTTTTGTCGACCATTTCGGGAAAAAATTCTGCAGTATAAGCAGCAGTTGAAGAAATCAGGTATGTGGTATCTAATATTTATATTGGAATAGAATGTGGTTTTTATAATTCCACTGTTCTTTTCCGTTACTCTGGAAGTTTTAGGAAGCCAAGAAGGAGAACCTTAGCAACCTGTCTTGCTGATTTATTCCACAATATAGCCACACAGAAACGTCGCGTAGGCACTATTGCCCCAAAACGCTTTATCACTAAATTGAAGAAGGAAAACGGTGAGGGAGATTCCAAAGACTAGTCAGTCGAATTTGTCTTCCGATATTTCGTAAAGTATGTGATTCAGAGTTGTTCGACAACTATATGCAGCAAGATGCCCACGAGTTTTTAAACTATCTTCTTAACACGGTATCCGAGACTTTGATAGAGGAGAAAAATGCCGAGCGTGATCGTTTACTAAGGAATGGAACCCTTCGCAAAGGAACACTAAATACCGACAGAGGGCGCGACGAAACTAGCGGGTACGCATTTTCCGTCTCTTCTTGCTAATCCATTATTATGTACTGTTTGCTACTTATTCTTTTTGCTCTCAGTATTCGGACGATTTTCAGGACCCTCCTCCCGAAAGTGGATAAAACATGGATAGCATGAAATCTGTCCGAGCGAACACTTACGAAATCTGAACCACGGCTGTCTGTGGTTGCGAAACAAGTAAGCCAGCTTTTTTTCATACTTCCAGCTGAAGTCGGAATTTTCTATACGACAGTTAACGGGAAAATCTTGGCTCCTCGCCTCAAATGAAGGTCTGCATTATTCCAAAGACCCGCCGGGTGATTTTTTTTCTGAAATGTTGCTCTGGTTCTTGCGTTTAACCCATTGGCGACATTGCGGCTCGACGCGGGGACGCAGCATTGAGATAACTCTTCTCCGCAGGATTTCCAGAAGTGTTCCTATAGCATACTAATCAGGAAGGCGTTGTCATACTTACGGTATTAATGGTCAGTGCATATCTTCCTTAGTTGATGTTTTACACGAGCGGTACTTGAAAGTGATTTTCCAAGGCAAAGCTTGTTATTTTTGAATGCATCCGGCTGGCTTTTCGCCTGGAGTCAGCTAGAGTAATGCTACAACATTTCACAAAGAGAGATCTGGATCCGACCCCATTTACGGGTTTTAAAGTGGAGATTTGAAGTTTTTCTGGCATGCTCCAATATACACCCTCGGCAAAACCTAAAGATTTACGCTCATTTTGGAAGCGGTCTGCAATCATACGAAACTTGCAAAGTTCTAACAGTTCATGCTTCAAGATTCAACATTTTTGGTGCAGGTGGTTAGCCGCATTATGACACATTTTTCGAAAATGTCAAAAAAGGCGCGGTCCGACGCGGCAGACAAGCGAAAAATCGCATTGTCGCCAATGGGTTAACTGTCAACAGAGCAGACT